ATTCCAGCTTTTCACGGGACATTTCAGCTTCTCACGCATGCTAAGTGACTGCCCTCACCCCCACCCCCCCCTGAATTGGCTACACTCCCCCTGGCTTTCCTGTTGCCGCAACGCCCCGCGCGGCGGCTGCCCCCCCCTCCGAGCCACATTGCGCCCTTTTATGTCTTGATTAATACTTTCCAGTTGTTCCGCGGGCGAGCGACGTCGTGAACCCGTCGCACAACTCCGGGTGGATGTGGCCATACCGGGTGTGTTGGTCGTAAGCAATTTTGTTTATTCATATGAAGTGAGTGCAAAAAACATCGAAAAAATACAAGAAATACACCAAAACCAAGATTATCGACCGGAGCGCCCCATCTGCGCCCAGCGCACGCGTCATGCGCCAGAGCGCGTGTTGACGCTCTTCACACTGTCGGTGCGGTCGGCGCCGTCGGCACCGTCGGCACCGACCGCACCGATGCGAACTATGAAAGCAGCCTAACGAACCGATTGGTAAGAAACGGCTTCACCAGGGTGAACAGAGCCTCGATGTCGATTTCGGCAGGCCGTCCTGTATTAGTGTGCTCGTCGAAGGAAAAGTCGACAGATTCGAAGCGAGCGAAGCAACTATAAGGGATGCCACGGTGGAGTGTCTCAAAGCCTATCGCAATTTTGATGCCACGCTCGTACTGTTCGCGTCAAAGCTCAAGCGGTACTCGTGGAGATTGTGCAGCCAAAGGCAATCTCAAGAATTTGTCATTTTTATCGTAGAAGTAAGACTTGGGAAAATTCAAGGGGACTGTTTCATAATCATGATCGCCTTCACACACCTCTCCCCCTTCCTTCCCCTCCCTATCTATGGAACTTCCTGAAGCCCCCAGAAAACTTTAAAAAAACTCAAAACGCCGCAAGAATTACCGTATTTGAGTTACACTCCTGTATTTGTTTTATTTTTATTCTGCTTCTATTCCTTCGTTTTCGCTACTACAAACCGTTCCGCGAAAGCCACGGTACTATCGTCAAGCGATCTTAACGCTTTTGACTCGACTACGTTAGGACGCAAATGCGCTAGTTCTTGCTGGCATCGACTACAGCATCACCAGCGTAACCGTGACCACTTGGCGCTTGGCGCCACCTTATTAATGTGTAGCACCAAAAATGTGTAAATTTATATACCGTCGCCACTTGCTTGGAGGCCATCATCGGAGTTGCTCGAATCCTCTGCACATATCATTATATAGAAGAAAGCGATTGTTTGTAAAATAAGCATCAACAAAAACGTGTACGAATACCCAAGCGATCTGAAAAACCAAGTTAAGCTTCTTATAGTGTTAGAAAGCTACCACAAGGTAGAGCTCCTAATAGTTTCGGGGGCCACCAAATGTAGGATGGAAGAGCAGATAGGCACATCGTGATCGCTAATTCACAGTAAAAAAATTAGGCAGCAGTAGCCATGTCTGATTACAGCCGCCGATCAGTGCACGCATGCTTCAGCTTTTTCAGAATTTTTCATCAATAGTGATTACTTCACCAATAATTTCATTACTTATTAGAAAGTGCTGTTTTCTGCAGCCGATAATGCATATGAAGCACTCTGAAAGGTAAGAATGGAGGCATAAATGGAGTAGAACGAGCCATCTCCGAACGGAAGTGTGTGTCATTTGTGTTCCGCGCTGCTAGCAATGTGTTAGACCAATCCGCTGCTCTCAACTGCTCCGCTACCGCGTGCTTCATCCTGGGCAAACCACCGACTCGATTCGGCACTATTGCTGGCTGGCGCCAGATTGAAGCGAGATGGCACAACGACTGTTTCCGCCAAATTCTCTGTAAACTCGTGCCTAACCATAAGAGTCATTTGGGACCCTGAATATGATATCTTTTTTTGTCGGTGGCGCTATTCCTCTTCGTGTACGCCATCTCACGAATGGGAACGCAATCAGGACTAAGCCTTTGGAGAGGAGGGCTCCAAGTGAGTAGGCCACTGACCCTGTGATCTCAAACACTTCATTTTTTGCCACACGGTGCGTGGTTTACCCACTCCGGAGTCCCACCTCACTCCCCTAAGCTTATTGTTAGCCCTAGGCGGTGTAGGAGAGGCATAGGGGAGCAGAAAACATGCATGCGCTAATGCCAAAAGTTTGTAGTCAAAACCCCTGTTCAAAAGTTTATATCGATGATGAAAAAACATCGTGGCCAAGTGGCACGACACGTGGCACAAAAATAGCGTCAACGCCAAAAATGGATGTCATATTCGTGATCAGGACCCCCAACAATCGTCGTAGGGAAAGTTTGTTTCCAACCAATCTTATCTCGACTTATCGTTAGAGTTGTAAAGGAGCAATAGTGCCGAGCTCCCATGCTTCCTCTCCTTTGCGGTCTGGTCTGAGATGAAGAAGATAATTGTAGAAATTGCCTAGTGATCAGAAGAGCTTTCTGCTTCTTGTCAAACATTAAGATGGAAACATAGGTAAATCGATGGGATCGAAGAATTGCTATCGAAGTTGGAGCGTGCCGAGGACTGCTATCGTTGAATATTCCAAATGCGAGTTGGAGCTTCTGAAGGCAATACAATGCGAGCAATAACGTAAAATTGGGTGTCCAGACCGGAGATGTTAGCATGGCCCAGCTTTTAAGATTAAATGCCGGTGGTCGTGATCAAGCTCCCAATTCTACACGTATGGCGAAAACAATTTTCCCTGAAATTGTAATTCTGATAAGGATCGATTAGCTGGCCTCGTATACTATCGCTGATTTCCTGCCTACTTGCCATTCACAGCATGCTTGGAACGTCCACGTAGCAGGTCTCCATATTTGTCATCAAAATATCATAAGTCTTTCGTCGATTGCCGCCCAGGGTCATGCCATTCAGTTCCATGAGGCCGAGAGAGCCTTCCCTCTGAGCAAACTGTTTTCGAAACAGCAAGTTGGCGGAAAATTATTGTGATAAAACAGGCTGTTTGATAGGACGAGCGAGCACGCTTTAAGTTGATCCACTGTTACTGATACCCACACAGCGCTTCGTGGGCTGGGTCTGTGCTAAATATATTGTCTGTCGGATTCTGCATGGCCGCTGTTCTCCAAGGATTGGCCCTAAGCTGCTGGGAGGCATCCGTCCAGTCTGTTCGAGAGACGCGGGAATGGTGGGGAGGATGGCAAGGCCCAGCATGTCGAACACTCCACAAAAACATACTTCAGCCAGCGGGAGCTTCCGCCCACGGTGGGGCTGGCGTGTTAACACGAGGCAGAAGACGCGGGAAAGGTGGCTTCGCGGAGATCGCATGTATGGTACGCGCGGGGCCATGCAAATGTGAATTCTCTGCGGAGTTAATCAGGGCATTTCAGATGCTATTTCCAAGAAACAAGCCGTTGGAACTGACTGGGAGAAAAGGGTAAAACATGGGTCGGAATCAGGAAGGAGCCATCTTCATAAGGCGGGGCCTTCGAGCTAAAAAGAGCTCAGTGCTCAATGAGAATGCACAACTCGGTTAGGCTCGGAAGCCTTACAAAGCACAAAATAAGTCCGGGGTTGTAGGGTAAGCAATATCTAAGGCGTCCCCAGCATACATGACGTGAGCGGAGGTCAGCCCGCAATGAGCGGAACGTGCTCTGACAATGAGGCACAAATCGTTTCCTACTAGTCCCCATAATTTGAATCTGACAAGCCTTAGAGAGCGGGGAAAAAGGTGGATAGAGTCGGAGAAAAAGGGGTTGAACATTAATGTGGGTGCGCCGCGCACGAAGATGGTGTTTGCTAACAAATTACTCGGTTCCAGAAGGCGTGGAGACCGGGAAAAAAGTGTGTATAGAGGTCAGCGAAAAATTAAGGTAAATGCTCTTGGTGGGGCACGACGAAGTTTTGGAGACTGGGATAAAGTAGATAGAGGTCGGTGATGGAAATTAGGTCAACTGCTATTGGTGGACGGGTATGCACTAGAGTGAAGCAGACTCACCCACAAAACTTTATAACTCGGGCTCCCAAACCTATAACTAGGTTTCAGAGGTCCGCGGAGACCGGGAAGAGTGTAAAGAGGTAGGCGAAGGAGAGGAACACGGCTGCCCTTAGTGGGTGGGGCATGGTAAGCCTCGAATATTGAGAGTGTTTTCGCCAAGATTAACAACTCTGTTCTAATTTAATTTATTCGTATTTATTTGATTATTTTATTATTTATTTATTTATTTAAAATACACTCACAAGAGTGTGCCCAGATGAGGGAAAAAGGAAATATCATTGTTGAGCAGAAAAAAAATCCATTGCAATATTTCTAGAAACTAAAAGGCTAATACCAGGCAGCAATAAAAAGAGGCAGAAACAGAAACGAAAACACAAAGTAAACAAAATTATAAATCAAAAACTGACAGAACGACGGTTACTTCAATTAGGCGATTTTGTACTCAGAGGCGCTCACAATAAGGTGAAGAAAGCGGGAGGAAACAGGCTAATAAGGAAATCCTAGGATGCTAGCGGTTGATACACTTCCAACCTTAAGGTGCTACCTGAGCAAATAACCGACAAGGTATGAGCAAGCACAGCACACACTTGTTCTGAACTTTCTAATTGGTCCCGGAAACCTCGAAAACGTGGATGGAAGCCGGCGAAGGGAAGGAACTCAACTTGTATTGGTGGGCGGGGTGCACACCAAAGTAGGCGGGGTAGCCGCCAAGCATATAAATTGGCTCAGAGACAGTTCAGAGATGGGGAAAACGTGGAAGAGATTGGCGAGGAAGAAAAAGATGGGTGGGACATGCACCGAAATAGGCGGAGTTTACCACGAGAAATAAATCGGTCTAGAGGCAGTCCGGAGACCGGGAAAAAGCATGGTTGACGAAGAGAAGAGTTCAAAAGCTATCGGTGGATGGAACGGGTAGAATCTAGCTCAAATATTCGTGGCGTATGGGGCCTAAGTTGAGAATTTACGCCACACCAACCCATATCGCCGCAGAACTGTGTTGTGCGGCAACTCAATTCAACTGGTATGTATTAGGTCGGTCAAAAAGTATCCGCCGTTTTGACCCCCTAATTTTGAAGCACCACAACTTTGCTGAAACACAATCTTTTTGTTCGAAATAAAAACTGCTATGTCCAGCAGATTGTTCTCAATCAGACCCATGCTAAGAACTTCCCTTCCTATAGATCTTTAATTTATTATAGGCTAAAAGCTGTAGGAAGGCGCATTTGACATGCCTCAGTTCTCAACGCGATTTCTCCTCCAAGAACTATGTTGAAAAGCGGGGAATTGGTGGTTCGTGAAAGATGTACCTGGGCTATATAAAGGATAGCAAAAGAACTTCTGAGCCATTTCTGAATGGATTCTACAGAGCGTATTTTGCGGTGGGCGATTTAGCGCTATCGTGGTGAAGGACTGGACCTCATTTTTTCCTTGAAGCAGACTATCATCCCCGTAGTTTCTTATGTTTTATGTTCTACTCTTTACGACAGGACTCGGCCGTCGTCGAATGAGTCAATTCTCGGACTTTGAAATGAGCTAGGCCATCGAAAATTGAGGAAAATCCTTATTGGAGGCGCTCCAGGTTTTGCAGCGTTCCAAGGCAGCTTGGTTTCGTCCACATATTTGGTAACCCTTTCACTGTTAGCGTGCAGAAGCATAGTCTTACCCCACACTATTACCCATCTTGGAAAACTGTTCCTTACTGTTGCAAAGAAGAATCCAAGCATGCACCT